CTGCTGAAGGTATAACAATATGGAAACTGGAACTGGCTTATGGGTGAAAAGGGAGGGGGCGTGCAATGGCACCTTGACTAATGGATGAGGAGGAACAAGACTGAGGAATCTACTGAGGGAACAAGGTGTTGGAGGAAGACTGAAGGTATTATAGTTGGAACAAGTTTTTAACAGCTTTGGAACAGAATTGGAGCAGAAAAGAAATTTAGCTGTCTCACAGAAAGTTTTTAAGGGATGCTGGAAAAAAGCATCGGGGTTTTCTGCTGCTACATTAACATCTAGAGCCATGATCAGAACATAAGTACCCAGATTCTTGCTCTTTCTCTGCTGCTGGCAAATACCTAGAATCCGGTAGCAGAATGTCACATTCCTTTGAATTGGTAGTTCATGGAGGAGTATGAAAGTTTATTCCTGACATTGGTGGGATCCTGATTGCAATAGTGCCACAAATAACAACAAAATCTGGCTTTCTGTCAAGTTCTTCATCTAGCGGCACTGTGTTTGTAGTCACATCTTCTTCTACCCTGCTGCTCACTTTCCTTGTCCTGCTCAAGTCTGTTCACTGGAAAGCAGGGATTTCTCTGCTCCTGGGCACCGTTGAACGTGCCCGGTGCTCTGCTGTGAGCTCGGAGAGCACATGGTGCCACGCTGCAGTGCCTGACTGGAGGTCATGGGTGTTGAGACCTCCAGCAGCAGCTGAGGTCAATGGCAAATGAATGAAAACTTAATGAAAATTAAAATAGATATATAATGCTGAGTATTCTAAAAAGCGTAGGTCCTTGGCTTTCCAGCTGGGCCACCAAGGTTAAGGAAAATCTTTTGCCTCATTTTTTTGTGCTTCAATTTTCAGTCTCCACCATGGTGATGATATTTGACAGGTTAGAGAAGGTGTTGAAGTTGAGAAAGCAAAAAGATATCTTAGCAATGAGTGTCACAGAACTGTCCAGGAGGCTTTAATAATTCTTTCACTATACCAGGGTTACTGCTTGGATACTTTCAAAGAAATGACCCAAGACCTGCATTGTACAGTAAGAAAAAAGCTAACTTTTGAAATATTCATTCACAGAGCAACAAAATGAGCAATAGGGTGCTGCCTGGGGCAGAGGACCATGGCAAAATGTGTTTGATCATCATCTGAGGTCTCGGATACGTATTCAAGCAGCATAGCAGCAACCTTTTATTTTGAAAATTTCTGCTTTTAGGCAGTTGGCCTTGCAATTTAGTAGTTGTTTTCATAGAATGTTTTTATGAATAAAAAATGTCCAAAAGGTACTGGAAAGCAATTATTATGAAACTCTATATTTTGACTTAAGTAATCTTGTGAAAATGCAAACAAAATATTTGCTTGTGTGTTTTTCTTTGTTTGTTTTTTTCCTTAGTTTTAGATTTTTATGGTGAAAACAAAACTACAAGCCAGGTCTTCTCTCGGTGTTATGTCTGTGATTTTGTTAGATCTACAAACAAAAACGGACTTGCCAAATATTTAGATAGAATTATCCAAAAGGAAACCTTGTTACTGCAGTAAGGTACTGGGGATTCAGCAGATAATGTGATTTCCTCCTACAATAGCATCAGGGCTGCTTACATTCTGTTGGGGAGCACTGTGTCACCAGCTTCGGTTGGTTATCTTTTAAAATTTTTTGGTTTTTTCTGATGATGAATGACATGCGCCATGGAAGTAGGAGCAGGCGAATTCCTGGTGTAATGAGGCTGGCAGAATGCACCTGTATTTTGGTGGTAGTGCCATCTAGTGATGGGCCCAGAGAGGATCGATGAACCAGATACTGAAGTCTGCAAAGGCAGGAAGCGTGTTCAGGGAGATAAAGGAGAGGAGCACAGCTTCCAGCTCAGATGAATGGGAAAATGCCAGCGTTTTGCCTACGTGCTAACCCATCCTGTGTTAGGGAGGAAAGAAACGTCCTGAAGTATCTTTCTGTCTCTTTTCGTTGACTTTGCAAAACTTGGGCTGTACCAGTACATGTGCTCTGTAAAACAGGTAAGTTGTTACAGTTTCTCAGTGTCCTGCTTATAGCCAGGTAAAAACCTAATACTGCATTGCTCCACCTTTGCTTACTTCCAGATAATGGCACATTTTGTTCTTTATTGTGTGGAACATGCTCAGCTATTCAAGTGCAAATTTTCCCTGCCATTCATACAATGTTGATTTGCTCTAATCTCACTGTAATTAAGACCTACATCTCACTGTAATTAAGGCTGATACGTTGTGAGGCTAAGTGTCGAGTAATTAACACTGGGATCTGTGACTGCAGAGTGTTTATCTGTAACTAAATGACATTTGAAGACAGTTAGCTGCAGTATACCATACTTTTGGCATATATAAAACATTGACTAAATATCTGGACATTTCTGCACATTGCGTAAGAGATATCGACACTATTAACATTATTTTTTTTGGTGAGTACTTACTAGAAGAGTAGAACAGCAATTGGAACAGTTTATTAAAATAACTAAGCAAAAATAATGTATTATTTCTTATTTATGCAGTCTTTCATGCATTAAGACATGTTGTTGACATCAGTACCTACTTAAGTACAGATAGGACATTCAGTGCTAACAAAATATTATTTGGGTATTCTCACCTCATTTTAATTATTTGTTAATTCCTAGTTTTGTTTTAGATTGCAGCATGATAATTACCACAGGATTTATTTTTCTAGGAAATAAAGTATGACTTCATAATATTCTAGTTGCTCTGCATGATCTCTCAAAAGTCCTTCAAAAATATTTTATTTGATATATTTTAGGCTTATTCAAACTCATCTTTGATACGGAGACAAAAACTAAACGGATCATGAGTTACAAGTACAGCTTGCATAAAACTTCTTGCCATGTTTTCCTAGAGCTTTACAGATGCATTTTGTTAATCTTATGGGAATTATCAAAGCATAGAAATACTTAATAACAAATGTAAAACCTGTTTAATTTAGCAGAAGAAACTGATCTGAATGGACTAGCAACATCTAATTGTGGTTTACCACATCCGTCAAGGGGAGATGACTTAGGTACAGTGAGGTAAGGATGTTATACTTGCATTGGGAAATGTTCATGTTTTAAAAATATAGTTGAAAATATGTAATCGTTTTTCAGTATATCTATGTTTTTATTAATATAATTATAGAGGCAAAATGTGGTTTCAGAAGTGGTTACTGCTTTAGGCAGCCATGCAAATGCATGATTGTGGGAAAGGAGCAAAAGCATCAAGATCCCCTTTAATACATCAAGCTTGTTATAGTATACTTGGGGTGAAGTAGCTGTTTATGAAATAATTACATAAAATAAGAAACTTTGCCTAGCTTACTTGTGCCTGTTTTTTTTCTGTTTGCTTGTACCTTTTGACTTCAGGTTTGTGGGATAAGACAGTGTCAGTGAGACTAGATGGAGGAGCAACTAGGAATTGTTCTACTGCTAGTTGCTCAACTGAAACTGGAAGTGGCAAAAATGAGGAGTGGTTGGTGTTCAGGGTACCTCGTTCTTTTTGAAAGGTTGAAGGTGGTCTCAACAATAACAGTTGCTAGCAGGGCCAGCTTTG